CATTCAAAAACGAGAAGGTAAACCCCGGCTGGAAGAGCAAGGGGCCTGCAACGTGCCCTGCCAAGGCTCACCTGTCTGTTGAGCGTGATGGCGCTGGGCTGACACTTGGTGCAGATGCCCTCTGGCCAGGGAGGATGCCCCTCGCACCCAGATTTAATCTTGCAGCTGATGTTCTCCAGAGCAACAAACTTCCCCCTGAAGAAGAGGGGGAAAAAGGGGGGTTTCTTTAGCCTATTCTAATGCCTTTTGCCGCCTAGAAAGAATCTAGCAAACCAAGCCCCTTGTATACAACAGAGCACAAGACATATTGGCTGTGTCTAGACTGGCAAGTTTTTCCGCAAAAGCAATTGCTTTTGCGGAAAAACTTGCCAGCTGTCTACACTGGCCGCTTGAATTTCCACAAGAACACTGACGATCTCATGTAAGAAATCAGTGCTTCTTGCGGAAATACCATGCTGCTCCCATTCAGGCAAAAGTCCTTTTGCGCAAAAGGGCCAGTGTAGACAGCTCAGATTTGTTTTGTGCAAAAAAGGCGATCGGGGCTTTCTTGCGCAAAACTGCGTCTAGATTGGCACGGATGCTTTTCCGCAAAAAGTGCTTTTGCAATCTCTTTTCCGCAAATGCTTTTAACGGAAAACTTTTCCGTTAAAAGCATTTGTGGAAAATCATGCCAGTCTAGACATAGCACCTGTGCGCTGATATTTTGCACTTTGGCATGATGCTGCAACTTGTCCAAAGACGCACAGCCAAGTCAGTAGATGAGCTAGCAATGGAAGCCAGGAGTCCTGGTCCTTCTGCTTTAATGACTGGACAGCTTTCCAGTAAGCTGATGGCTCCAGCAAAAGCCTCGGAAATGCAGATAAAAGTCATTTGGCTGCAGTTTAAGCAGTGCATAGAGTACACGACAAGGAGCGCGTTATTCTGCAGACTAAAATTTGTTTCCTTTTATGTGTGTAAAACTTTTTGCAAGAGGGAGTTGTCTTAAAATGAAAGAGCCCGGCCTTGAGTTTGCTTTCAGCAAGACAAGATGCCACGCGATCAGGGGAAGGTGCCACGTGTTTCTTTAAGGGACAGGCATGCTATACTACGACATGTTCCCAGTCCTTTGCTTCAGGGAAAGGGACGCTGCCCGGCACACGAGGATCCTGGGCATATCAGGTTGCGGCCCTGCTTTGTGTCTTTCACAGGGGTCGCCGTGTGAGTCTGTTTCAGCAAAAACAACAAGGAGGCAGGTGGCTCTTTAAAGACGAACAAACGTTGCAGGGCCTGCGCTTTGGGGAATGGCAGATCACTTATAAATGCATGAAGTGAAAGAATACGATTCCGCTACCTGATACGTGCACATCCTGCATCTCACACAGTGAGCTGCAACTCACCACAGCTGACACCCTAAGAAATTTGTTCGTCTTTAAGGTGCCCCCGGACTCCTTGCTAGGTTTGCCTTTGCCGTTCACTAGCTAGCTGAATAAGAGAAACACCCTCCCTGTTCAGCACCTCCTCCAGCTTTCCTGGTACATTCCTGGATATAATCAAAGTATCTCTTAGCAATGAGTTCATCCTTACAACCCTTCATGAGGGCGAGAAGTGACATCATCTGCATTTTGCAGATAGAGAACTGAGGCCAAGAGACTTTCTCAAGGTCACGCAGGCAGTCTGTGCCAGAGATGATATCACCCCCACTCCCAAGCAAGGAACCTGAACTTTCGTTTTCTACAAATCTTAATATTTCACTGCAAAGTAGAAGTGGACTGTGGCTCTCCTGACCCACCGAAGCACAGCCCAGGCCACCCTGAGATCCAGCCTTCTGGCTTCTTCATCATACTGTGCCCTCTATCTAATCTAGAAAGGAGAAGGTTTGTATGTTTGTGCTCTAATAACTTGGACACTACTTGGATCTACCGCAACCAAACTTTCCATGGGATAACCTTTCCTCCAGGAGAAGGTTTTAAGGTACTTTTGGACCCAATCGGGCCCAATCTCAACCTGTAAACATTAAAAATAACCTGCCACACTGCGCTGCAGGGGCAGCCCCGCCCACTCTAAGTCACGTGCCCACCGCCTGTGGCCCCAAAGCACCGTCCGGGACTCTCCCCAACCCCACGTGAACGGCTCGGGCATCCGACTTGCCCCCTGTGGCTACGGTTACCACGTAGTTTAAAAAAAAACCACAACAACAAAAAAATTTTTGAATTATAATGGAACATTTGTTTTGGATTTGAATGTAACCTTATTGTTGCTGCTACCCAAACATTGCTACGTTTGAGTTAACTGGAAGAAATAGTGAATTGGTTTGTAAAAAAAATTAATATACCTTATCTGTTTTTCATTGTCCAGACGGGGTAAAGTACATGAAATTAAAAGCATAAGCAGTGACAAGTAAATTGGACATATGTCTGTCTATGAAGAAAACCTTGCTGGACTGAGAGTTCTTTCTACATCATCTTCGTCCCAATGTCAGCAATGCTGCTTGTATGCAATTACCTTGCCACAGCTGAAAGTGAAGCGACTCCGTGGCATTCATATCCCCCCAGGCTTACCAGATAATGGCCAATACCAACATACTCAGGCAAGGTTTGGGCACTTTGTTGTAGCTACAGGATTCCCATAACTGCTGAGAGTTTCTTACTTGTCTGCTCCTCCGGTCAGCTTCCTGATGTAGGCATGGAATGACATGTGCTTCACGGGAGGTTCCAGATGGTTTAAATAATCTTCATCAAAAGGCTGCCAAAAAACACCGTACAAAGGAGACCCGGGTCAGACACCTGTCTGGTAATCCATCGATCACTGAACAAATGGGTGTTCTAGATTCAACTTTCTACCATCTCCCAGTGTGGAAACAATCAAGAAACTGTGGGCTTTTTTCATGTCCCTTAACTGTTTCATGGGTCTTCACAATATTTTTGATATCGCTTCATGCGTGCTCAAAGCTTCGGTTTTCTCCACAAAGCACAGTTAGCGCCAAAGGCACGAGGGCTTTTTAAATAATGACAAATGCAAAGACCAGCAGATCAAACACCTTCACAAAGAACACTCAGAACTCATGGGGTGAAGGAGGAGCCCACTGGGGTAGGCTTTTGCGGGAACTATGACTGTCCACCAGGGAAACAGCTGAGAGTTTCTGTAGCTATTTATGGCTGTTTTCAGTCTCAATGGTGCGGTGGAAACCTGTGGCGAAGCACTGAGATTCGGATGTGGAAGGGGAAAGGATGGGAAATGAACACAAGGAGAGGCACAGAGATTGGGAATGAGAGTGAAGAGAGAAGACAGAACCTCACACACAAAGGTCTTGCTGGGCTTTTACAAGTATTTTCTGGTGTGACGACGAGTTGGGGCTTCCCCGATCCTGCACCCCCGTAGCAGCCAGTAGAATAGAGGGGTTTATTGATTTTCCAGAATACAGCACAGCACAGATGTGATGTGGCTACCGGGGGCAGGGCCAGGATGGCTCAGGCTCCTAGGGTTAGGGTCCATCACCCCTAGCCCCCAGCTTAGCCTGTTCTCTCCATGCTTCCTAGACAGCAACTGACCCCCCCCCCCCCCCAAGTCCTTTGTCCCTCTCTTCCCTTAACTTGTATAACCGGTTTTGCTACCATCCTGGGAGCGGCAGGATACCCCCTGCTGGGCCATGCTTACAGATAGCCCAAGCATAGCAACCAGCAAGGTACTAACACTACACCACATTTGGTAACTCCATTACTGCAGACAAACGAATGCTTTAATCATGATGCATCCTAGGTTGGCATCACAGCCAAAGGGCCGGCTTTCTTACTGAGGAGAAAAGGCGGCCATAGGCAACGCGCCAGGGAACCTGCCCCTCAGAATTGCCCCCCCTACAGACAGAGCTTCAAGCAGCGATCGAGCAGGTACAGAGTTTAGACAAAGACATGTCACTTCAGTGAAAGGGTTTGGTTTACCTCTAGCGGTACGCAATGCACACATTTACCCAAAGGGCCGTGTCGGCATCTGTGTAAAGAGAGAAACAAGGCCACGTTTAATAATGGGATGGATTCTCCATGCCAGACTGTACCATCTTTATGTCGTGAAGGCATTTGGAATGACTGAATAACGATTTGGGCCACGAGCATCGACTGGTCCGTTATGAGCGATCGAACATGGCGGCGGGGGAGGGGAGAAACAATCACTTCACAAAATTTGGGAGCAAGAGCTTGGATTGAACCGACAAGTCTGAGGTCACAATCAGGCTTCTTAACACACCTGTCCCACTGGCAGGCCTCTCCATTAGCTAAAGAGCTATTTGCACGGTCTTCAATGATAATCCCCGACCGTATAGCACTCCCATTCAGGGCAGTGTTTCAATCCCAATACACGATGTTTTATGGTGCATGGGGGAAGGCTACGTTACTTTAAACTGCACCAACCCACTCATCCTTTAACACTGCGTAAAGTTGCTCTCGGAACACAGTGAAACGTGCCCATATCCAACAGATAAAATCCCGTTGGGTCAATGTTAAAACAGGGGGGGAAAATGCCCTTTGGAGATGATCTCCTTAGAAATTACAGGAGCTCTGCCAGGGCATTAGGAACTGGGCAGTATGGTTCTTAAGAGCAAGCCCTAGCAGATGAACTGACTGTTGACTCTCGCTGGAAAGATATGGAAGGCAGCCAGTGCGGCCCTGCTTTTAACGGCTGTATGAACATTATCTTCCCCATTAAGGACCGCTACAGGCTGCTAATGCACTCCGCAGAATGCCAGCATCCTATCCCGTTTAGATTGATATGCACCAACAAATACAGGCACGACCCTGGACATGGATTTTTTTTTATCATCATAAATATCTGCCTTTGTGTTTTGACTCCCTGCTAAGAATACCTTTCTTCTCTTGAAAAATGCACTCACATTGAAGCCAGGTTTGGGGGCGGGGGCGGGTTAACCAAGAAGGGGAGAGGTTTGCCTTTCTTGTTTGAAGATTAATGTGCCATTTCCCTCATTCATCATCAGCTCGGAAAGGTTAGACAATAATGTCCATTTAAAAGCTAGGCCTCTCTGATCTTCCCTTCTGCTGCAGCACTAAAGATTAAACCACATGGGAAGACAATATCACAGGGCCGGGAGGGGCACTCAGGTTTAAAAAAAAAAAAAACCTCAACTTGAGTTAGGCAGGGATCCACCTTTTGCAAAAAAGAAAATCTCAACTTGAGTTAGGCAGGGATCCACCTCTCACAAAAGGGTAAATGGAGGGCACAAGAAATGATTACAGGGACCCGGAAGAGAGCCGGGCACAGTGCCCATGACTCCCTGCCCCCTGGGCTTTCCAGTAAACAGCAATTCCACAGCTGCCTTTGACTCTTGTGGCTTTGCGACTGTTCGATCGCCTGCTAGTCCCCGAAGCCTTTGCAACCCACACACCTGGTGGGTGTGGCTCCTTGTCCCGACTAGCAGCACAGACCGCAGGCTGGCTTTTACTCAAACAGCAGAGCAGGCATGGGGGGACCTCAGGCCCGGGGGCTGGATGTGGCCCTCGGCTTGCCTGAATCTGGCCCTGAGGGTCAGGGACCCCCTCCCTCATCAATGGGGAGCCCCTGCTGGCACTGCAGCCCCCTTGCTGCCCCTCTGCGAGGCAGGAGCACGGAAGATCTGCTAGGTTGGGCCCCCTTAGGCTCTGGTGTGCGAGGGGAATGGGGGGACTGTCTTTCTGCTTCTCAGTCAGAAGTCACGTCAGGAAGGGTTTGGTTTTTTGCTTCACACTTGTGTGCGGCCCCCGACTGAATTTTCTGGGGGTCAGTGGCCCCCAACCCAAAAATGGCTCCTCGCCCTGCCGTTAGGGGTGCAAGTGACTAGTCAACTATCCAATAAGCAAAAGCCTCTATCAGAGGCAGGAAGGGGAGCAGGAGCCGGTGCTGGGGGGAGCCGGCTTAAAAGCCAGTTCCCCCCCCAGCACCATCTCCAGGGGGAGGGACGGGGAGGTAGTGGGGATCAGGCACGAGCCGGGAATCATCTGATTCCTGGCTCACACCCAGTCCCACTGCCCTTCAGCCTTTGAAATGTATTAGGAACCTCCTGGCTCTGCTGCAGCTCCCCCGCATATTGACTAGTTGATGGAAAATCCAGCAACTAGTAGATTAGTTGATTAAACTAAATTTAACATCCCTTCCTGCAGTAGAGGCTCATGCACTAAGCTCCAGAGGTCCCAGGTTCGGTTCCGCCTGTCGGCGTTCCGCCTAGGTAGCAGCTTTGGTGAAAAGGAAATGTTTCCATTCGTGGCTTTCACGTGAGATCCAAACCATGCAAAAATGGATCCAGGCCTGTGCCTTCATTCATCCAGCCTGGATGAATGCAACACTCGCTAGAGGACATACACAGTGAAGCCATATGGAAACAGACGCTAGTTCAGAATGCAGCCCCCTGTTCATTAGGCAGATGTCTCATTGGGGGCATATTGCAGAAGCACTCCAGCTAGAGCAGCTCTGGAGGTGACTGGCAGCAGATCCTTCTAGCAAAGGCCCTCTGGTTTGGAGTGTGCTTCTACTCGGGGCTTGCCAGAGCCCTAATTTAACTTTCTAGGGTAACAGCAGCGTCTCTTTTCCAGTGGGGTGAGGGAGCCAATCAGCGGCATATGCCTTAGAAGGAAGACCGTTCATTGAGCACACTTACTGGTTATCAGTTTCATATCGAATGTCATTTTAAATTTTGCTAAGCACCCAGCCAGCAGACAAGAGTATAGAAGCTAGTTAGAAAGCACAGTAGTATTTACAGTTGCTGATCTCGATTCCTGTAAATCTTCCCGTCCTGTTTGATTAGGTACTGGTCAATCTCATCCTCCACCACGTTGGGGGCCCCCATGGGGCGCAGCAGCCCTTGGGGGAGAGAGGTGTCCATGTTCTCCGAGGAGGAGCCAGCGGGGCTCGAGGGGAAGAGGAACAACATATCCCCATGTCTGTGTGGGGAGAAAGAGAAACATGCACTGACTTGGAACGCACGTAGCTTCCTACACATGTAGCGGGGAAAACCAGCTGTTAGGAAAGCACCTGCCTTGCAGAGTAGAGGGGAGGGCTAGCTCAGTGGTTTGAGCAATGGCCTGCCAAACCCAAGGTTGAGAGCTCAATCCTTGCAGAGGCCATTTAAAGATTTGGGGTAAAAATTTGTCAGGGATAGTACTTGGTCCTGCTGTGAAGGCAGGGGACTGGACTGGATGACCTTGAAAGGTCCCTTCCAGTTCTAGGAGATAGGCAATCTCCATTAATTAAAAACAAAATTTTAAATTAAAAAAAATTTAATTTAGTACAGTTCAAGAAATATTGGACCTTCGCCTCCCTTGCAGCACTAACTGGTTGGACCATGATTTTCACTGTAACCTGCTGCCGGAGTCTGAGTTATCTGGGGAAATGTCGAAGCTTCCTTCCTGGCATAGAACTATAAAACAACCTTCATTACTGCCTACCTACCACAGCATCCCTGGGACCAGAACGTGAAATCGGGAAGAGCACAGGCTCAAGATACATAGTAGTATAAATGAAACAGCCCAACCCTAACTACCCTCCAAAGCCATGTTATTGGCCAACTAGCGCTCTTGCTGTTTTGCATGAAGAAGTTGCAGGAGGCCCTCAAAACACGAGTGCTGAATTCTGCCACTTTGCACCCACAAAACCAAGAGGCACCTTTCACCAAGAACAGAGCCAAAGAAAAATAAAGAGAATGGGGGGGAAGGGGTTAAAAGGAGAGAAACAACAGCGTCAGCAGAGCAAAGGGCTCACTAGAAAATTGCCAACGCTTGCAGTCAGGTGCCTTCCGACGGTGCTTTGTGCACCATTATAGAACACCAATGAGTTAGCTTGGTGTGGTGCCCTTCCGTTTGCCCAGAAAAGGTGATGGGAGGGTCCTGCCAATCATCTGTGACTAGGGAGGGCTGCAGCTCCGGCCCATTCTAAATGGACAAGTTCTTTGTGAGATGCCTGCAGCAACACAGAGCGGGTGGAGCAGTGCAGGAGACAGGGCGGAGGAACAACTGACTCAATTCCCTCGGCCACAGAGGCACAAAAGAGGAGTCTGGTGCAGCCTGCCTGCAGCGGTGGACCGCTCTAGAAAACCCTAAGACACATGGCTACAGTGGGCTCTCCCCAGCAGTCCCTTCTGGTAGCCCACAATACCGCAAGCAAGCCAGTTTGCCTCCTCACTAGTGACACAGATGCAGGGACTATCGATGTTCGCAGTCCATAGGCACAGACGGAGAAGTCAGACAGGTTTGGCAAAAGGGGAAAGGCACATTCTACGGTACAACGCTCTCTCTTCCTCCCTGGTATTCTCTGTCAAGAACTTACTTGATTTTCAGGAGGTGGAGGGACTTGTTTTGTGATGCTGTGATCTCCCCAGTCCTGTTTCTATTGATGTACACAGAAAAGCCATTATTCCTGAAGCCAAACTCTTTTGCAACCTAGGAAATAAGAGATGAATGAAATCGCGGGGGGGGGGGGGGGGGGGGATATGAAAGGCCTTGTGGAATTTTCTGCTACAGATACTTTCACTGAATCCAACCTCCACTGCATGGCAAAGATTGTTGCGTATCTACAAGAAGGAATTTACAAGAACATAAGAGCTGACAGAACTAAGAACCTCCACGGGTCGTAAAGACAACACTGACAATAAAACACACATCCCACTGAGCGTCTGCTCTAAATCCAGACACTCAGGGTCTTGTGGAATTTTCTGCTACAGATACTTTCACTGAATCCAACCTCCACTGCATGGCAAAGATTGTTGCGTATCTACAAGAAGGAATTTACAAGAACATAAGAGCTGACAGAACTAAGAACCTCCACGGGTCGTAAAGACAACACTGACAATAAAACACACATCCCACTGAGCGTCTGCTCTAAATCCAGACACTCAGGGTGGAGAAGTGTCGGTCGCTATTATTCAAATCTCCACTCTCCAATAGGGATGTTAGCATGTAGTCATTTACGATGAGCGTGGGCCCTTTGGTTAATCCTAATGATTACAAGCACCCTCCCCCTTGCTTCCTCTGTATCAGAGGGAGCAAGGCGGGGAGAGGCGGGAGCTAGTGACTGTGGGGAGCCAGCCGTGGAGCTGTCAGCCCTCCCTGCTGCCTCCCACAGAGGCAGCAGCATGGGGGAGGGAAAGGGAACAAGACAACAGGCAGGAGCTGGCTCCCCATGAGCACCGGCTGCCAGGGAGCCACCTGCCCCCAGAGGCAGCAGTGCAGAGGGTGAGGAGGGCAGGCAGGAGACGACACACGCAGGAAGCCGGCTCTCTGTGCATACCAGCTCCCACGGAGCCGCCTGCCCCTCTCCCCTCACTGCTGCCTCCGTATCAGAGGCGGCGGGAGACAGGCAGGAGCCAGTACTCTCCCCACAAGCACCAGCTCCCGCCTGCCCCCCCTTGCATGTAAACGTGCAGCCACTGAAAAATTCAACAGTAACACGTTTACAAAAAACCCAGGTTTGCTACATCCCCACTCTCCAATGCCAGCTTCTGTGGAACACTGAACCAATCAAATCATCTCTACCCCCCAATCCACTTCAGACCCCTTTCCTTGCTTCCTTTCTCATTCCAGAGCCTCAAATATGAGGCTCTTGCTTAGATTCAGCGCTGCTCTCGATTTCAAGTCATGATTTTCCACAGAATTTTCACTCTCTTCCACTCCCTTTTTCATGTCTTTACACTGTTAGCCATTTGCCTTTCTTTCTCCTGGACTTTCCGCTTGCAAAAGCCTCTTCCTTCAGACCGCTAGACAGTTTCCCTTTCATCTTTTTAAGTGCCTCAATTAAAACCCACTTTTCTCTTAACCTTGCAGTACTGACTTCGGTTCAATAGCATCCTCTGTCCATTTATAAGGCTGATCTTTTAAGAGCTAGTCAATTTAAACACAGAGTTAGAAATAGCTGCAGGTACGGTACGTGCTCTCCTAAGTCTCTACGCCTATTTCTGTACTTTCATTTTTTTAATATATAACAAAAATGCCCCTCCCACCACCTATTGTTTTCGTCAAACCCACAGACAGAAGACATGGGCTTGGCACAGGACACCATCAAGCACATAGAGTAAAATGGAAAAAAAATAGAATACAGTTTGTTTTCTCTAACCTCTCTGTTATCAGGAGCTGAGGTTGACTCATAGCAAAAGGAAGTAAGTTATTCAGAGGAATGTGATTTCTAAATTATCCCTTTACTTTGTGCACTTTATTGGTCTGAAGTGAACTGGCAGCTCTTCAGGTCAGAGACCTTGACTATAATTGAGGAAGCAAATTCTACGGCTAGGAAACAAAATTACAGGTTTTTCCCAGGTTTAAAGTTCTAACCTGAACACAGACGGTCTTACTGACTTTGATGTTGACCTTGCTGCATGAAACAGAGGAATTCCTACAGTCAATCAGACCACTGGTTCATCTAGTCCAGTATCCTGGTGATACAGGTTTTAAAGATGGAGTACCAGGACTCTGACATGACTTGTGCTATAACATTTTGAACTTCATGCAGTATTTGTGCAAGATCAACTAAGAGGATATCCCATGCCAGGAAGGAGCACAGCCCTGGTTTATAAACTATCTCCTCAATCATTAGAGAATGCTACAAAGAAAGTTATGACAAATACAATGAAAAGGAGATTTGTGTGTTGAGCAAAATATGTTTGAAAGTTCTTCCAATAAGCAGGTACTCCTCTAGTAGAATTCTGTCTGACCCTCATCTTCAGTCTATACAAAGTATCAAATAAAAGATTAAATTTAATCAAACAGAAAAAGCTATAATCTGATGTTTAAATTATATCTAGTTAGATGTAACACTCACTGTATATATTGGTATTTAAGCAGTAAAACCTAAACCCATTAAGAGTCAAGAAACCTAGCCACGGATGTGTTACAGCCTGTAATGTCTCTTTTACACTAAACCCTGTATCAAAAAGGAAAACAAGAGTATCTCCCTGCAGCACAAATATCGAATGCTTAGTCCACCTTCCTAAGCAAGGAAATCCAGGCAGGTTGGAGGGCAGGATTAAGAACACAATAAAACAAGATACTCCTCTCGCTAACAGAAAAACACTGAGATTAAAGATTCCAAGGTCCCAGGAGACGGAGAGGAGGAGAAAAAGACTGTAGAAGATATGCAAAATAGCTGAGATTCTTACTCCCTCTAAAACAATGTTTTGAGACACTGACCATGTGTAGCAAGCAAAAGACAATCAACTGATACCCAATGTAAAATTAATTAATTTCCAATTGTGGAATTCTTTCCCCCAGCAATCCGTTCCTAAACAATCACATAAGGATTGCAAAATTACTCTCCAAAACTAAGTTGGAAGAGCCCCCGTGGCATTCACAAAACAAAAAACACAAAGCAGCAGTCGAGGAGCAAAGTAAACAGCTAACAGCAAATTTCCATTCAAATTATGTTTAAAAAGGCCAATCCCTCGTGGCAGATATTGAATCTCTAGATTTCCCAGCTGATCCTCAGTCTGAGCTCTCCCCACAACCCCATTGTTTATAGTGATTCATGTCATTCTGAGTGTATTCATTGCAGTTCCTTCCTTTCAGACTCCTACTCAGATCTGATTCATTCAGCAACACCGAATCAGGGTTGGTTTGGTGCTGATGACATGGCTGAAAGTATCGAAGTGGAAAAGCAATCAGATTACTCCTTCTGCAAACCCTGTTAGCAACAAGAGGAATGGAACACGAAAGCACATCAGTTTAACAGAGCTTTCATAAAATGCTATAAAGTCTCTGCATATGCACCCACTAAGCGAAGCAGCTCCCACAGCAAAGCCATCTAGACTGACTAAATTCTGGGCAGCCAAAGCTCTATCCTAGGTACGGTCAGAGGGGAGCAGTGAAGCCAGCACGTAAGTGCTGAAAAGCTGAAAGCAAGGATACCTTCTTTAGAAATGTTGCAACTGTTTCTCGTTTTGCTGCCGTGATACGCTTCACCCCCTCCGGTGACTGGACACGGATTATCTGCAGAGAATTAAAAGGTATGCTAGGTCACACAACAAAGCGATACTACGGCCTGTCCTGGTTTTGCTTTTGAGCAAAAGAAATTCCCCCCTTTTGAAGACATGAAACAAAGTGAGAATCACCACAACCTCTCACCACGCCCTTTTCACATGACCGAAGTCATTCTTTGGATGCAATCACAAAATTATGGGGGGGAAATTCACCTACCTTCCTCTAGGGATGTAACAGTGTAGTCGATTAACCAATAAGCAAAAGCTTATAGGTTAATGCTATAGACAACACACATTTCCCTCTCAAGTTCTTTTACGGAAGGACTGAACTAACTTGCAGCATTAAGGGTCATCTTCAATGTTATTTCAACATTACTGACAGTTGGCATCTATCTCCAATAAAGAGACTAAGAGAATTAAGTCATGAAGGCACAAGGCATTACTGGGAGATGTTAATAGGATTTCCACTGGAAAGATGTGCAAAGCCACCTGCTTTTGGGAAAAGGGGCCAGAGGCAATTGTTCCCATAAAGACAGGCTTGGCTATGGATCAGGACACAACCATCAGGATGTCTTACGCTTCTCCGGAGTGTGAAAGTGACTAACGCTCAGCCTGCACTTCAAACCAAAGTACCAAGCAGCAGGACATGCAGTGAAGGGTCACGCGGCGGCAAATACTATTACACACACCGATGTGCCCCTGGGAAGGACAGCAGGGCGCAGCACAAGGCCACCAGAGTGCTCCAGCATGCTCTCCTTCCAAGTTATTTTGTATTACAACGCCAAAGTTCTGGGTGAATACATGGAGCATGCGAGAAACAAGGAATGCCTGTAAAAGACGATGATTTTGTTTAAATTGCTGCACTGTATCTTCCTGCAGAGAAGTGAGCACAACACAGAGGGCCAGATTAAATCACAGTACATTTCAGGGTGCACCATAAGGATTGAGGGTGACCCCGCCTTGCTTTGATGTTTCACACACACGGAACCCCAACCCTCATTCCATTTCCTGATTGGAAAGGCCCCTGCTTACATTTACTCAGCCTAGGAATGCCAAAATAAGACTCTACATATTTTTAAATGTTCAAGCTTCTCCCACTTTTGGGGCTTATTGAGAATATTGGATGGGCTAATGGGACCAAGGATGATGAAGTTTTTCTGCCCATGACTAAGAAGATGATGTCTCCACATAATTCCTAGGTGGCACTGGAATTAGTCAGAAATCAGAGCAGACAATTGAATATTTAACTGCCTGGCACTAGCATAGCGGCAGGGAGATAAACCAACAGGTCTTAATGCAAACCTTTTCCATAGAAATAGATGACAAATCAGCTGTGTTCCTTATTTTGGTGTCCTCAGCTCTGGACAGCATTTCAAACAAGACCAACACCAATGTCACAGTAACTAGCATGAAGCATGAAGGGGAGAAAAGGAATACTTTGCCAGAACTCAGTTAAAAAAGATGTTTGCTGCTACTCGGGTGAGGCAAGAAAATGCTAAGAGGAAGGTACTATCAGTAATGTCCAGATGCTGAAAGGAAGAGAGCTGCCAGTTGCTGTCTCACCATAGTTGCTCTGATAGGGCCTAACTCCTGGGTGATGTACCTTACAGGAGAGTAAGGTAGATGTTTGTGATTTTGGAAGTCAATGGAGACACTTGTTTTCAACAGCAAGCGTCAGAAAGGAGGTTTTGCCTGACAGCTTTAGAAAGAAAAACTAAACACAAATCTGTTTTGTCACAAGTTTCCAGATTGTTTCAAACAGTTTAAACAACTTTTTTTGTTTTGTCAATTTCTACACCCAGTTCTCTCTCCATTGGCAAAACGATGACTGACATGGAAGAAGGCACCAGAGGCCAATGACCTACTGGGGCACTGGCATACAACAAGAGATCAACTGATTTAGCAATCCCTGAAACAAAAGAGATTGCTCCTAACAACAGGCAAGCTACAGGCCTATTGAGATAGACCTTTACGAAGAGTAAAGGAACTGTGTTTATAGACCTTTCCAGTTAAACCAGTTTCTAGCATGGCTAATAACTTCTTGTGGAGACAAAGCCAAACTGCATTAGAAGAAAAGCTTTCTAACCTAGATGCTGGCTAAAGCCAGAAGGTGGCTTTCAGAGTTTTAGCATGGCTCTGCCTCTAGCCAAAGGGGCCTTTGACTTGGAGGACTTTGGGAAATTCTCCCACTGCCATTCCTGGACACACGTATTTTCATCCCAATGCCACCTAGACCGGCTCTAGAGAGCATGGTGGTAGACATACTGGCAGCTGGGCCAACATCAGTACTCTCACCCCTTCTAGAACACGTGCTGCAGAACTGGTGGGAGAATTTTAAGAAAAAAAAAAGTTGAGTAAAGAAGAGTTTAGGCACCATCTGCACTGGGATCAGGAGTTTCCCTGCGCCGTGTGGACACAGACTATGGCAGTGAAGTTAAGAGTAAACAAAGGGTTTAGGCACCATCTGCACTGGGATCCCATGAATATTTGCCTGTTTGCCAAGAGGAGTTTCCCTCCGTCGTGTGGACACAGACTATGGCAGTGAAGTGTAAATGGGGGCGAAGAGGGAAGTCATAGTCTGGCGGGTAGTTACTAGACCGATCCAGCGCTCCAGGCACATGCAAAGCCTCGCACTTGACTGTTCCCCGGGGACACGGTGCCTCCCCCCAGCCCAGCCCCGCCGCGAC